GAGCAGCCCTGTTGCCCGTCATTCACAAACAAAAACTTCTGAATTCTCTCTGTCTAAGATTAGGTCTTTAGACAATATTTTGTCTTAACAACATACTAAAAACCATACATTTCTAATCAATCATCGTATAATATAGATAAGCCAAACATTCACAAAAGAAAGATGCTGTAATTAGAATACTGTCATGCTTTGGCTCAAATAATAAAATCAATGAATTAAAAAAAACTATTTAATCTAGGATAGAAAAACATGAGCAGCCTGCAGTGACTCAGCATTTTTGCATGAATCAACTTAGATATGTTTTGGCTTTAGTGAGGCAATGGAATTAGCCCTTATATTTCTTGCTGCCATATTTTAGATGTTTGTCAGGTTTTTTTCTTTTTACTTGATTACATATGACATGGATTCTTAGCATAATAGCCATAATATTAACTAATATCAATCTTTAAATGTGTTGGGAGCTGGAGAAATACACCTTTTCTCCAGCAGAGTCCGCCCTGGATCCTCCCTGCTGAGCTGCTCTACACACCTGCAGCTGATGATCTCATCTGGAGGACCTGGACTACTTAAGCTGCCTTCAGACCTTGCCTCGACGCCGCAGTGTCTTAATCAGTTGGTTAGCACTTAAGCCATAGATCCCTAGTGAACCAAGTCTCCTTTGAGTCCAACCTGGATTCTAACCCTTTTGTCTCTGCTTCCAGGTTTCCTGTTCTTTCTCCTGTGAAGCTCTGGAAGAGCTTAACCTGCCGAGCCAGCCCTCCGAGCCAAACCTGAAGACTCACTCTCTGGATTTCCTAGCAGCTCTGGATACCGAGCTGGAAACACAAGCCAAGGTCAAAACAGCCTTTAGAAGTAAGACGCTGAAACAGCTTAAAGGGATAGTTCGGTATTTTTGACATGAATCTGTATGGCATCCCGATCTCCAGCGGCATGCAATCACACTGACTTACCCCTGGCAGCGTCCTGTGAGCAGAGTTATCGTCCAGTTTTGGTCAAGCCGAAAGTAGTCCTGCAGGTTTTTAGGTACAGCGAAATAAAACGTTTCTCTTCCCAAAACATTATGTGTCCAAAAGAGTGATATTTTCGCATCCCAAAAACATTGTAGTGGAAAAAGTCACACGTCGTTATCAATTGGTCCTATTTTCTCTCTGTTCGTATCAGTGCGCGCCGTCATTCAGACAGCGAGCCCAACAACAGCCATGTCTCCTTCCGCGGCGGAAGAGAAAAGTTTTATTTCGCTATTCCTAAAAACCTGCAGGACTACTTTCGGCTTGACCAAAACTGGACGATAACTCTGCTCACAGGACGCTGCCAGGGGTAAGTCAGTGTGATTGCATGCCGCTTGTGATCGGGATGCCATACAGATTCATGTCAAAAATACCGAACTATCCCTTTAAGGACACTCCCAAAGCCTCCTCTACGTTCATCAAGGTACAAACCTGAACACAATCAGTCAAGTCTCAACCAAGCCTTCGCTAACCAAACTGTCTTTCTCACAGACGCCAGTGAACCGGTCCCAGCCCAAAACCATTGCATCAGTCTTTATTATATGTGTGAATTTGCCAATAAACTCTGTTAAACTTTCCATCCGTGTCGTCAGTGTTCTGCATATTGGGCCTCCCTGATACCCATCATGACAAAATGTCTCAAAACGTTCATTTGTATAGTCTACACCACAGTAGAGAGGTTTCGTTCTGATAAACCTGATTCTGCCTTTCTACATTTGGCTTTACCATAAAAAAATAATAAATTAATAAAAATAAAAATACATGCCATTAGAGTTCTTTAAAGGTGCACCAACCATTCATGTTCAATGAATCTTTTGACATAAACTTAGCATTAATTGAACATTTTCAGCATACCCTTTATAGAATTTTTTTCTGCTTTAAATTCTATTATTCTCATTGCTCTGGGTCACTTATTTATCTCTCTGTTTTGTAAGATAATGTTGCCATTTCATAACTTTTTACTTTCATCGTTCTTACCTGTAAATGAAGTCTAAAGCCTTGAAATCTTTTATACAGGTACTTAATATACGCTATGATATACACTTTAAGCCACATTTCATGCACTGTATAAAAAACACATTACCCTTTTTTCCTCTCATTATGAAAGAAATCACTAAATATTTCTAAATTAGTGTGTGATATGATGACAATACATATTCAAATTGTCTCATAATTATTTAATTGATATTAATACATATTATTGTATTAATTAACCAGTAATAAACCAGCCAATAAACAACATGTCATATTAATCTAGCTTAAAGGAATAGTACACCCAAAACATGATTAGCCTTCATTTTCTACTCACCTCCATGCTGAACAACACTCTGGAGTACTTTTTTGATATCTCAAATGCATCTGGAGATCTGGGAGGCTTCTTGCTGTCTGCTGACATTCAAATAATGGAGGTCCATGGCGCCCGAGACAGAAAGGTCCATAAAAGTCCACAAAAACGTGTCAATATTCCTCCATACTGCTCGTCCAATGTAATCCAAGTGTCCTGAGTGGGTAGCATCCAGAATTTACTCGAAACGAAGTCATTTAGAATGTTTTTAGAGCATAAACAGTAGTGTATAGGATTTCCTAATAGCGCCCCCATGCACGCTCACGATTCTACGGAAGCCGGCAGACCAAACCGGAAGAAAGTGCGCATTCAGCGTCTGGTCTGCCGATAATGCAAGCGTAGAAGAAGAAATGTGCTGTTTACCTGTGCAAAGAAAGAAACAACGAAAGAAAAATGTCTGAGGTCTTCAGTGTTGAGGAAGAGCATGAGTTCTTTGCCGAGCTGAATGCGCTGGTTTGGTCTGCCGGCTTCCGTAGAATCGTGAGCGCGCATGGGGGCGCTATTAGGAAATCCTATACACTACTGTTTAGGCTCTAAAAACATTCTAAATGACTTCGTTTCGAGTAAATTCTGGATGCTACCCACTCAGGACACTTGGATTACATTGGACGAGCAGTATGGAGGAATATTGACAAGTTTTTGTGGACTTTTGTGGACCTTTCTGTCTCGGGCGCCATAGACCTCCATTATTTGAATGTCAGCAGACAGCAAGAAGCCTCCCAGATCTCCAGATGCATTTGAGATATCAAAAAAGTACTCCAGAGTTTTGTTCAGCATGGGGGTGAGTAGAAAATGAAGGCTAATCATGTTTTGGGTGTACTATTCCTTTAAAGATATAATTCACTTCCAGAACCCAACCTACCAGATGAGCATTTAGTGACAGTTAACAGTTGCTTTCCCTTTATTGTTGACTTTCCAGCCATGCATTTAGCATCTTTGGAAACAAAAACTCCCCTTTAACAAAAAAGATCTCTCCAACAGAAACAGACTCAGTGTAAATAGCCATCTGTCCCAACCAAATGGGGTTCGAACAGACAGACCATACACACAAAAGGAACACAGCGCTGATCAAGAGGTACTTTCTATTTTAGAGAACAATTAAAGCTTAGTTGCAATAGTAGCTCTTGCACTGGCTTTTTCTGGGAGGGAAACACACCAAGCAGATGATCATGGAGTCATTAATCATGTCTAGAAGATGAAACGGTAGCCTATACAGTTAGTTGCAGTAAAAGGCCAGCCAAAACCAACTGCTATTGTTAGCCTTGGGCAAGACACTTCAGCAGCCTTGCCTGCTGTTGGTGGTCAGAAAGCTCAGTTGTGCTCAGTTCATTGTCTCTCAGTCTGCCCCAGGACAGATGCTGTGGGTACCACCATCAGCGTCTCAATGTTTGCATTGTTATGCAACAACTTAGATTCAATGCTCACTCTGGGGGATGGAAAATATGATAGCTTATCAAATAACTTTCGGACTGTCATATGTTTTTCTGTGAAGCCACTCCTAACTGGCTGTTTGTTAGTTCATCAAAAAGTTTGAATTAAGCTCAAATAATGGTCAAACTATCAACCCTGCACTCATTTTCAAAGTATAGCAACTCAGCTTATTGAACTCTGAATCAACAATTTTGTGTGTTAACTACTGTTGACCATACTAGTGATACTCAACTAATAACTACTATCTACACAGGAAAAAGGCAAAACGAATGTTTAAAAACCATAATAAGTATAATGATGCAATGGTATCATGGTTCAGCATGGATTGTATGTTTGAGAACCAGATTTTATACTGCAGAGTTTTGAATGAGGCCAAATTAGCTTTTAAACTAATTTAGAGCAACTTAAGTCACTCAAATCAATTTCCATTGCAAATCCAAGAGGTGATCAACTTTATTTGTTAAAATTATATTTTACCCAAGGATTTAGATTTAGCCTAGTTGGAAATCAATTATCGTTTGGATAACTGATTCTCTGGGGTTGTAACCGTTTTAATTTCTTTAGCAAGTTTTGATTATTAAAACAATCATGCAGACTGATTTGAATGGACACTATGGTCATATTATTCAGTCAAAATGTAATGAGAACATCAGCAATTAATAAATACTAATATCAAATTGGTGTTTGAATCTTTATTGAGATGGGGGGGCTACATGTCGCCATGGAAGTATCTAGCAGAGAGTCTGCAGCTCTTAAGGTTGGTGCGGCAGAGCAAAATTGGATCTTTCTTCAATTGTTCAAAGTTAATACCATAATGGATATTGGTCTTCAATGTCCAAAATTAATATGATGCCTTATGAAATAACAGCACAATTTAGTTATGCAAATACAAGCCATTTACTTATTATTTAATATTTACCATCAGCTATGTCTATAAGAAATATAGAGTTATCATTTATTTAGAAGGGAGAACTCAAGACAAGCAAGTCATTTTATGGCCATCTGTTTATTTTCTGCTGTTCCACCTGTATTTAAACAGGTCTCTTTTTATAAAAAGAATTCCCTTTGTGAATTGAGATATGCAAACAATCAGGTTTGCTTCTATACTGCAATAAAGAAACTGAGGCATCTGATATGGTTTGATTGTTCCATTTGCCTTAGTTAAGTTTCTATAAGCTGCCGTTTGAAGGACTGACCCCCTCTTTTTATCTTCTTAGGGGATCTCCTGCTGGGGACCAACAGCCTTTTTCAAAGTTTATGGAAACCTGACCTCCCATTGGTGGAGAAGGTGAGAGTGGGCTTATTTTTCTGAAATATCCTTGGTTTTCGCTGATAGATTCAAATATGGGCTCATACATACCTAATCTTTTTTTTTTGGAACCCTTTCCTTGATGAATAATGTTTAACGCACCAATTGTAAGGAATGAATGGCTCTTTGTCTTTGTGTTAATATTTAATGAGAGTTACTTAGTGTGTATAGAGGCCAACTGGAGGACATTTTACTTAAATTGCTCACCTGGCTTTAATATTTCATTGTTTGGCAGGTGTTATACAGTGTGCAAATGTCTACAACAAGTTTAACATACATACTGTTTTAAAGTGTGTATTTATTCTATAATTTCTACTTCCAAGGTAGATCACATGGCAGATAAAAGAAGTATCTAAGCCAACATGTGTCTTAGTAAATATATTTTCAATTCTATTGACACAAAATGATACAGTTTGATACAGTGAAACAGTATGAAATAAGTAATAACAATATTGCTTTAATGTATTACTTTTAATTATTTTTTTATCAAAAACTTTATGTTTTATGGAGATTCTACTTGCATACAATGCTCTGTTTGATTATAATCCATTCTTCTAAATGAAGGGTCTTAAGCACACTGATCTTTAGCCCCTTCTACAGCTTTTAAATTCTAAACAAGTCAGGTCAGGTTAATGACTAAACCAGTCTGTAAAAAAAAGGAAAAAGGCCTGACACCATCATATTGCCACCCCAAAATTTAGCTAGTATTATTTCTCCAAACATGGTGCCTGCAATAAAATAGCTCAGTTTTTGTTTTATGTTATCAAATGATAGCCAGAAAACCCAGAGAGTGGAGGAAACAGAGGTGAGTCTCTTCTCCTCCTCCATTTTTGACAACTCCATGAAATGGTTTTTCTATCACTGCATGTCCATGGCATTACAGTAAAGTATGGTTTGGACCTAATAATTGCATTTTTGTTGTTATGGTTGTTTTCCTTTATCTAACGTTATTCTATCAAAATGTTAGACTTTTCCTGAAAAGGAAAACAAACTTATATGTTAAAGGTTTCATAGAATGCAACACCAACTTTCCATTGTCATAGATGAATAACGATAGTTTAGTGGGTGAAATGGACGTACAGAGAATTCCAAACCCCATCGACACCTCCTTTCTCTGCAAATCTCACAATTCAAAACTTCCTCCATAAAACGGGGGAATACAGATGAAGCACTGAGACGACGTAAACTCAGGGATGTTGCCTTATTTGGTCCCTGTACTTTTGGCACGTCCTGAAATTGACATAAAAACCAGCCCACTGGTTCACGGCCCAAGAACATGAATAGAGGTAGATGTAAGACTCCAGTTTAGCCTACAGTTGGGTTTACTTCTACAAGAATTACAAAGCAGGCAGTTTCTCTATTGAAAATGACCCAGAACCACGGGTGTAAATGCAGTGTTCCAGGCTGTACGGGGAAAGGGGAACATTTTCATAGTCTTCCCAAGGATCTGAAGACTTGACAGGCATGGATTATCTTTGTCTATCAGAAGATCCCTGCAAAGTTTGATGCTCAGCTGTTCATTTGCTCTAAGCATTTTAACCCCAACCAGGCAGGCGGGGTGGAGCACTGTGCCGCCGGTGTCAGTTCGGTTCAAATGCCCGTTGTGTTTCAACAACATGCAGGACTGTAGTCCACCAAAATCCAGGACGACTTTGAAATTCCCCCTGGACATTTTTTAGGTATGAAAAGTAGGACATGTCTGGGAAAAGGAGGTCATCTGGTCACCCTACCATATCATCAATTTTATGTTTCAGTGAGTGAGTGAGTGCTTGTTGCTGTGATGCGTCTTTGCTCAGCAGCTTTGCTCGTTGTAACCAACCAATCAGCACACAGCTCATCTAAATATTCATTAGGATACCTTAAAAGGAAGAAAACCTGTCGTTTCATTCTGGGGCTCTTTACCGGGCTTGCATTAGGGCTCATAGAACAGAAAATATGCCATTTTCAGCCCAACCAATGTTACACACCTTAGGGACCCTATATAATAATGACCTCTTTAAGAGTTAAAAATACATTTTTGATGTTAATGTAATGTAAAAATCTAAAAAGCCTGGATACAAACAGTGACAAAGAAACAGTTATACAATTAATAAGATTTGCAGCTGGGTTTTAGCAAAATAAATCAGACCATCCGTGAGATGATTGGCTGTTTGGATGATTTGTTTCACCTTTATTTTAGGCATAAAACACATTTTATCCGGAAAAACTTCTCAGTGGCTGTTGGCCTAACAGGTTTGCTTCTGGTCCTGCTGGCTAGTGAGTAGTTTCTGATGGAATTATGCTTTTTTTTTTCAGGTCTGGATTAAGAACCTAGCAATGTGTATGGAGTCAGTTTGTGAAGTGCAAATTTTCTTGGTTTGTCTTACTTATCAACAATTTGACACTTTTACCAAGCAGGATAAAAGATAGGATAGGTGTTTGATAAACACAAGCAGATCATTTTATTTATAATCAGGCTCATCAGAACACTGTGGCCTCATTCAAAAGAGCTTCTCGAGGGATTCTTTCACTTTAGATTAGGAGAAAATAGCTGGGTCAGGGGAATACAGTGAACTTCTAATTTATAATAACTACTGATAAGTCTAGTCGGGACAAGGGGGGGCAGTTTGTTTAGCAGCATTTTGCTGGAATCCAAGATTGTCCTTAAAAGGTCTTTTCTGCGCTACATTTGCAAAAGAATGTGTAATACTATTTAATATTTAATGCATTCAGAAAATGTTGATTGTTCAATTGAATATCTATTCTAGAACAGACCAAAGCTGGAAGGATTTGAATTTATTCAGTCTCCCAGAATGGTGTGAAAGCAATCAGCTACATGAGACTGGACATAGATTGTAAATGTAAACTATAGGATGGTATGTTATTGAGTCTATAGCTTTAACCAACTTCAAGGAAATTATAAAACTTGAGTAATGATTTAAAAATGTGATTTCAACGCTAAACTCAACTCTAGGCAATATTTTATCTTGAGTGCCAACTTGGAGAGATTGTCAAAAGTTTTGACATCATGAGGCTTTTATCTAATAAAAAAAAAACAGTCTACATACACCACATCTAAAAACAAAAAAAGTACTCCCTTGTTATTTGCCAATCAACAGCAATTTAACAATTTAAAGTGTTTGACAGATGATTGTATATAGACATCCATTACTCTGCGAAGCATGATTTCTTTTTAGTGTGGAAACAACTACAAGTTGTGATTGGTTTTTAATTAGGGGCTTGTTTCTCTTTTCTATGTGCTGCTATTTGGTCATGGTTTTGACTAATACTTAAGAGCATAATCGCTTTTCCTTTTAATAACCAAATGTAGATGCTTTAATTATAAAGTCTACGCAATAAAACTGCAAGATGAGGCTATTGAGTTTTCCTTTTCAGGTTTGATTTAAATCTCTTATATATTTGTTTTGTGTATGGCGAGATTTTAGGAAACAACACATACACTGGATTATTCATCCTAAATGGTCTCAGAGTTAGATGCCTATGCCTTGTAAATTGTGTGACCATTAAATAATAACAATAGTAAATTATATATTTTCTAAAATATTAATTAATGCAGGTTGTTATATCAAAACCATTGAAAAGGATGAAAAAAGGGTTTTCATACATTCTGTGAGAGAAAACTCTTAAATAACACCAATAAATTTCAATGGTCCACATCCATGAAGTGCAGTTAGAGATAATTATAACTGTGTCCTAGTTGTGCAGAGTGCACTTTTGAGTGAGATAACAACCTATTTTCTAAATGTAGGCAATTTAAGGCCTGTCTGTTTAAGCATTACTTCTAGTTCATCAGAGGAAATCAGCATGGTAACCTTTTAGAACGTTTTCCTTATGTTATAACGCATATCGTAGTTTAAAAAAAAACTGCTAGGGCAAAAAAAAGGTGCAACAACCTAGTTTCAGATGTGTTCACACCTTTAAACTAAGACAGTGTTGTTCAGCCTATAGCCTTGAGTCCATATTTTAATTGGCTAGAGTGAATCTGATGAAAAGAAGTTCAGCTCTCTCAGATGGTTTTGAAATGTTCTCATCTGTATCCCTTTGCTAAATTTTGTCATTTGTAGAGAGGCTGCAAGTGAACATATTTAAAGCTGTCAGTCAGATTGGTGCAACATTCTGCAGCATTATACAATCATGCTCAATAGTTAAATAGGGGTTATTAGCTAAATTCTCTGATTGAAACTACTTTCAGAAAATAACATTGAAGTGGATATTGAACATACTTTTTTATTAAAGCCACATTTCGTGATAAAATGTATTTTTATTGGTCTGGTGTAATAGTACAGATTTAAAGGTTTTGGTTTCATTAGCTGTATCAAATCATCACATTTAAGCTCAATTTTTAAACATACATCTGAGTGTACATTATATATACATATATATATATATATATATATATATATATATATATATATATATATATATATATATATATATATATATATATATATATATATATATATATATATATATATATATATATATATATATATATATATATATATATATATAATGTTTCCTTTAGTTTATTGAGCCATTGAAATAAACTTGAATAGAATTTTCTATTTAATAATTTCTTTTCAGACATAAAAGAAAAATGGGGACATATTACATAATAGTTTTAAGAGAAGACGGCAGTATCAGTGCAGTCTCTGTATCCTCATAGCTCATGATTTATATGTAGACGTCCACCAAAATTTGATTTCTTTTGAACAGCAGGAGAGTCATAAAAACAGATCTTATTTCTTCTGGAAAATTGACCTTCTGTCTGTTATGACGTTCACAGCAGCAAACTGGTCCATCTTTTGTGCACATTATTACATTTCCCCTAGATAACTCAGTTTGCTGTAGAGTATGTTTGAGTTCCTGTTGTCATAGTCTTAAATGTATAGCATAATTTTTTCTTTCTTTTTTATTACTTCTTACCACCTGTCTTTCTCTTCCATCATTACATTGACATTTTTTTTACAAACTTGAGT